CAGCAAAGGACCTAGAAGCACATTTCTATGCAACAGAGCCAAACTGTCTTTGTGTTCTTTGTGGTCCCCAGCATAAAGAAAATGCAAAGGTCCTCCCATATGCTGTAGTTTGTATGGAGCTCATAAATGCTCATCATCTTAAAATACATGTTTAACCAGTTCAATGGGTCTCAAGTGAATAATTACAAGGAGATGGAAATACATCTCCAGGTGTGCATCTAGATTAGGATACAGGTATGCACAGAGCCCTGCATTCACTCAGAGAGCTCTTGTCTTAGATCACATTCAATCACTTTATGATCAAATCAGCAATATGACACAGTTATACTATCAAAATGTAGTTCCTAGATTCGCTTCTCAAAGTTTTCTGTTTTAAAAACTTGAAAGTATTTTTTTAAAAACCAAAAGGGTTCTAATATATGCAAATATACTTTAATGCTGATTTTAAAATAAACTTTAAAAAAGCCAAAAACAGACGGAAAGCAGAGAATCAGTAACTGGATCCGAGCATAAATTCCCATGCAGTACATATATGCACAATCTACTGATGTTGCAATCCTATCTAAGGATAAATCTCTTCCCAGGTCAACCCCAACTCCTGGTGAATTTATGGACACATTCCCATTGGTTTTTGGCCACAATATTACAAGCGTTTTGATGCTGTCATCTTTCCAGTCTAGCCTACTGCACTACTTTGCTTAGCTTTTTCCAGATTGATGTGATACAATCCTACGTATCTGGGAATAAAGTTTAAAGGCCTTATTTCTAAGTAAATAAGTAAAAGACTGTGATGCAAGTTGAGGTTCTCTTCAGTGGGAATTCGAATATGTAAGACTATTTAGGCTGGAAGACATTCCTGCCAGGTATTTGATGGCAGAATTATAGAACTCTGGAGATAATTAATAAAAAGAACGATCTAATCTTGTACAGTGGGAGGTTTGGCTCAGGAATCAAATACCTAGCCCAAACTGCTGATACAACTGCATACTGCAATGACACAGTGATGACTAATAGCATAATGTGCTCGAATATCCAGCTTTGTTCACAGCAATACTCTGCTTATCTTCAAAGAGAGCAGACTCAGCTCCTAGAATGAACAGCACTGGGAAAGAGAACAGATCAGGAATTAAGGGCATGTTCAGTCATTTGATTGCAAGTAGGTGGAGCAGGGAGTTCCATAATTGCATATAATATTGCTTTGGCAAGAATCATGGTGAATTAATTCCTGTTTGCAGTTGGCTTTGAAGCTGAAGTGGTAAAGCAGTGTGCTAAAGTTAGGGAACTGAAGCCACTTTCATTTATAGCATTTTCATCTTGAACAAATGCTCATGTTTTGGTCCTGACAATCATCTAAAAATGACATTTTTATAGCACAAAATGGTCAAAGTCGAAGAGTGATGGAGCTTATTCCCTAGCAAGTGTTTTTAGACTTGCAGCCCAAATAAGAAAAGACAAAGAATGGGTTTTTAAACCTCAGTAACTTCAGATGATTACTGCTAGCATTAAGGAATGCAATACAATTTAGCTGCAGTTGTGTTTTTTTCCTAGTGTATCATGGAGAATTAATCTTTGGTTTTGCTAATGTAAAAATGGTTTACATCTTCTCTGGTTAGCCAGAAACAAGCATGTTCCATTTAGCACCAGAGTCAAAACTGAGTTAGTCAGACTTTCTGTTTTCAGAAGGATCAGGGGATTAACCATGCCTGCTCAGTTCCAGGAGTGGCCATGGGGGTCTCAAGAAAGGTAAGGCAATAATCAAAGCCCCTCCCTTTCTTTCATGTGTTGCCACCTGCAAAAAAGTGGTGGGGCTTTGATGGCACAGTCACCCTGCCATCTTGCCTTTTGGGGCGTCCCCTGTGAAAGCAGCAGCTCAATTCCACAATGAAAGGTGTTATCTGATAGCTGCAACATTCTTTTCTAAGGTTGGATTCATTTGTCCAGAACTGTCTACTCTAGTTGGCAGAAGCTCTGTAACTATTAACATTACCAGCAAGGCTACTAACTGAGATTCCAACTTTAACTTCATATATTGCATTAGATAAATCATTGAGCTACTCTTGAGAATTTGGTCAAGTGACTTATTTTGATTGTGTATTCTTCTCAACTCTGTGCCCTAGTCCCAGTCATATGGAAATCACTAATTATACTCATGGGAGGTGAGCATCCCAAAGAAATATCCATGTGTTAATTGGCTTTCGTTTTTTGAACTGTATGAAATGAAAGTCTGCAGGCACCTTGGACCTCTCATGTGCATTAATGATAGCTGGTTTTTAGAGAATTTATTTCCCAGTTATTTCATGTTGCATGTCCTGCTATCTTTTACAGTATTTGGTTGAGTAATTCATGCTGATCTTGCCAAAGCATGAACAATTTATTGTGCTGCATCAGGACTGTTATATAGCTATACACATTTCTTAGTCTCACCATACATAAAATGCATACATTTTTCCCACACAATTATTAGAAGCTCAATTACAGATTGCATCATATATGTTTCAATCACTGCTCAGAAATTATGATGTTTGGTCTCAGACTGCTAAATTAAGGATTATTATCCAGTAAAACAAAGGGAGAATTACACATGTTTCCTTGTAGTATGTGGAATATGTAGATACATGTTACAGAGAGACAGAAACACGCATGCATTCACCTCTCAAGCTAGAAGTTCTTGAATAGCAAGAAGCAATATTAATGGTTTTTAATTCAGGCACGACACCATCTTCTCTTTTCTTTAACAACAGATTATAGTTAAGAAGGACCAGTGTATCTGCTTGTCTCTTCTTAAGGGGGAGGAAACTCCCATACTTTTTCCTTCAGGTAAATAGTTCCTTAATAGGTATCACATAACAAACACAAAACACATCGATTGCAGTTAGTGCTTCTCTTTTAATGAAGAACACAAGCCATCATGAACTTCTCTTGTGCAAACCTTATTTAAATATATCTGAAGGGGCTTCATGAACACTCTTGTGTTCTGATGCAGTTGCTATTTATTCTAATAAATAGTGCAAAAATTACTCAGGCTGTGTACTAAAACATTAAATTCAAAAGTTATGCTCAGTGGGATTACTAGGAATGTTTCTTTCCCAAAGGTAAATGTCATACTGTAATTACTAATATCCACTCTCAAAGAAGTTTGTATTTCTCTACTCTTATATGAAATAACATGTGATAGAATTTTGTGAGCAAATAAATAGCAATTCTAACAAGATCCCCAGGCAATTCTCTTACTGTCTTAAGGAAACCCATCAATGAATAACCTATAGACTATTTATGATGGCTGATGTTTAGAATATGCTTTGATGTATACCAGACCCAAGAGATATACCCATTTGGCATCACTGCATTTGAAGCCCTGTTCATGTGCCTTTTAATGATAGTATAGCAAGATCTTCATTCCACAGCAGTTGCAAGGGGGAAAAGTCAGACATATTCTATTATGTGTCATAGGTGTCACAGAATATCTAGGACTATTTTTCCCCCCTGAAGCTGATATGGAATGAAAGTAACTTATACCTGTCATTAAGAGGTATGTAAGCAGGTCCTAAAGTACAGCATTCACCACCCACCACACCCTGAATTAAGCTCTGACAAATTCCCAGAGGAGTAGGCTTTGGGGAATCCAGCACAGCCATAGTAACTGAGGTCAGATTAGTATGAAGTGGTCAATCACAGTACCCTTCCTGATCAAAGGAGAAGCCAGCATAATGCAGCTGAAGTGGGCCCAAATGGTTTTCTTCTCCCCCAAATGTTTTGGCAGAGAAATTGGTTGGATATATTCTCTGAATTTCTTCCGAGGAAAGAGAAATTCTCCGGTGATTTCTCAAGATCAGGATTCCCCTGTGAAAGTGGCATAAGCACTTCTACTTAAAAAGTCCAGTAGAAGAAGTCTTCCTTTGGATTTAATTGAAATGTAGGAAGCCAAAAAGACCACAGGGTAGACAGAGGAAGAATTGTCCAGGGAAAGACATAATATAGACACACACCTGCTCTTGGCTATCATGGAACTAAACAAGTACACTAACACTTCCTATCTGGATTTGTCCCAAATTCTCTTCTGCTTTGAAATAACGAATAAAGCAAATTGTCTTTCATTGAACTGAAAATTGCTGCTGAGGAGTAAGAAGCAGATTTTTCCTGCCTGCCACGGAATGCAGCAAGCAGACTGGAACATGCAGTTTGTCCTGTCTAGGGGCAATGTCATGCATCCACTATTTTCTCTCCCCAAACTTTTAGAAGCAGTTTAAAGGTCACCCACGATTGCTTTTCCTGCTGCCCACTTGGTATGCTGAAAACAAGGAGGGACCATAACTACTCCACCCTTAGTTCCTACAGCAACAAAAATCCCATCACCCCTGCAGGACCCAAAAGGAAAGAAAGAAAACAAAACAGCCTGGAACTTTGCACTCCAGCTGCGAAGTTCTGCCAGGAAGGGGAAAACCAGCAAACTCTTGTCAGTTTCACCACTGCTTGTTTAGTCTGGGCTACGGAGAGGAAAAAGCAAAGCCATTTTTCTGTACAGGAGCTGAACCTATAAAGAGGTGGGAAGAGGGGTGAGGTGAAAGTTCCCTCCAATGGACAAAGGAAGGCAGAGCATTAAAAAAAAAAAAAGCCCTTAGCTTAGCAGTAATTTTAATTATACTGCAGTTGAACTAGAAATAAAGAAGCTCTCCAATACTGCTGATCTCATGGGAATGCAGTTGCCAAAAGTGCTTCCAAACTGGTTCAGAACTCTTGTGGGGCGGTTCTCTCTCTATCTGTAAGGAAGGGAAAGTCTACTCAGCACGAACACATCTAAGCAAGCTTGCAGTTCTAGGAACCATTCATATCATTGGACCTAAAGTAGAAGTGCTCTGGAGTTACAATCAAGAACTTTCTCATGGCAAGGTGAGGCAAAGACATAAGCAGATGTTGAAAAAACAAATGTCTCTTTAGTGCAAGCTACACCCTTCTGCACAAGGAGAACAGCTCTTCCTTTGTTCTTTCTTGTCTCATAAAACATGCCTGAGTGTGAAAAGCTTTCTTCGGTGCCGCTGCGTTCAAAATCTGTTGACTTTAGCAAATGCAAACTGCCAGCTCTTTCCATCACTTCAGAAGTATGGGAGGGGCCTTAAAATCTTTTCTTTGTTATTAGCTGAAGAAAGAAACTGTTCGTGACTAATGACTAAATGACAAAAATTCTGATTTTTGCAAACGGAACTGAAAGCTATAAGTAGCAATACAGAATAATCCTATCCTATTGAACGAATAACATTGTAAAAAAATCTCTGGAGATGATTTTCAGGCTACCAATTCATGTAAAAAGCACTGAAAATATACTCAACCGTGCTTCAGGAAGTTTAGCCTCCTATTTTAAAATATTTTTGGACAAGTGATGGCCAATATATCCTTGCCCTTCTTAAAGTTTGTAAGGACAGCATTGCAACACAATTACAGATTTGTATCCTTAAGGACTATGATCCATTCAAGAAAGTTTGGTCAGCATTTCTTCTGTCAATCCTGCTTGTTACAGCCATGTTCCAAATGGTACCTTGAGGTTGGAACTGGGGTTAGTGTCAAAAAAGCCTAGGCATGGACTTCTCTCTTTAATTTCTGGCTAAAAAGGTTATTTTCTCTTGCAAGGGTTTACTCTTCATTAGGAAGGATTGGTTCTATGAGTTTACATCCGCCAATAGATCAATTTTCTAGAATCTCCCCAGAGTAACCAAATTATGTAGCCACCATTTCTACATGGCAGTTGTTAATAAATCCTTTCATAAGACATAAAGCAAGTAATATTTTAAGTTAGGTGTTTAATGTGTTATCTAAACAGAGTGAGTTAGGCATAACTCAGGATTTATGGGATGGCAGAATCATATGGGGTTTGGGAATTTAAACTGTGTGCATGAATTTCATCTTTCTATATATGCTGGGCAAATGCCTATAATAAATAAACGATTACTAATTTTTTCTATTCTAATATATGTATTTGACAAAATGATTCCTGAGAGAGGTTTGGGGATTTTTTGCCTGTTGTCCATCCATTCTTATTGTCATCACATTTCCAAAGAAGTTAAACTCTCCTGGAGCAATCGAGTACATGGCTTTTGATACAACACATCCAAGATCCAAGACAGGTTCCTGTCCTGGAAAACATACAATCTAAAATTTATTGTAGGAGAAACCACAGCACAGCGTTAAAAGAAATAGTTATATTCCATTTTTTGTTTCTACTATTTCATTAATATTACCGCACAGCTGCCAATTTAATTGGACAAAATGTTCCAATTCTTTTTTTTTTAATCATAAACATAAGCAGATGCATATATTTATAAGTTTTACCTGCTGTTTCAACTCAAGCAGACTTTGGACAGTGTACAGATATAAAATTTAAAACAATTAAAATCATCCTTCTATGATGTAGCGTCTTTGTTCACATAAATAATCAAATCACTATGCTGTCATTAAACCAAAATAAATGTTATGTAACTTATATAAAAGAATTTTGCTTGATTCTCACATCCGATTTCTTCTTCTTTTTCTTTTTTTTAAGCACCTTATTGTTTTGTGGAGAGCCAGTGTAGTATAGTGGTTAAATTGCTAGATTAGGAATAGAGAGGTCCAAGTTCTAGTCCTCTCCAGGCACAGAGACAGCTGGATGATCTTGGCCAACCATTCCCACTCAGCATCAGACTTTGTGACAAGAGAGAACTGTCACAAGCTTCGCTGTAAAAACTTGGTGAGCCCAGTACAAAACTTAAAAGAAGCTTTATCGTTTATTTCATTTAAATCATTCCTATACCATATACTGTAGATCTTCAGACAACATACAACCTGTAAATATTGTTTATGTAATTTAAAATAAAACATATAAGTAATACAAATATAAAAATATATAAAACAAGCCAGCAGCCAGGAATAATGGAATGAGTTCAGCCTTCACCTAAACTGAAATAAAGTTAGGACATATCCTATGTTTCTACATACACACTTGGATTCTTGGTGCTATGTGAAGAATCCTCTTGAGAATCCTCATATTTTGGGAGTGGCTTGTCATTCCAGAAGCCTTGAGACATAGAAAATACCCCTGTGCTCCTTTATATGTGGAGCAAAATTTTAACTTAATAATTACTGTGAAGGCATGGCTATGATATTTGTTGAAAATAGGGTAGCATAGACCATACAACATAACATCCCAAGTATCATGGATTTCATTTTTTAAAGCAAGTGTCTAAACCAGTGTTTCTCAAGCTTGGGAACTTTAAGATGTGTGGACTTCTTAAGTGGCTGGCTGGGGAATCCTGGGAGTTGAAGTCCACACATCTTAAAGTTCCCAAGCTTGAGAAACACTGGTCTAAACCTTTGGTGTCAAGTGAATATCTGTTCCTACTAAAACTAGAAAGAAACTACTAAAGTAAAAGCTTTAATTAAAACCAAAATGACAGCATTCCAGGTTTAGCAATGCTTTTGTGAGTGTGCACAAGAACGGGAGAGAGAGAGAAACTAATCTGCTATTCCTTTTAAGTTTTAGGATTTTTTTAAAGTGATTGATATTACATTTTAAACTAAAAGCAAACTTCATTTTATCAGTTGGGGCTTTTTTAGTCATCATTGCACATTTGTTGACACTAGGAGGGGGATACTCACAGTGCTCTGAATGTTACGGAACCAGCCCTAACTAACATTACCAATAGTCAGGGATGAGCAGAAGTAAACTTACATATGGGCCTTTTGGCAAGAGATGCAAGAGATGTGTTGATTTAAAATGAAGGAAGCACTGATTCAAAGGAAAAACAGAGGTTGGGTTGTGAGAAAAGAAATATGTACAAGTCTAATTTCTACATTATGGCTTTGTGGAACCGGATTCTTCTTTTTCTTCTCCATATATTTTATCTCTCTAAAGATGTCCAAGTCAGAGTTAAGGAGAACATTATGCTTACCTTATCCTTGTTTCCTTTCCAGGTGTCCCTGGATTTCAGCATTGGTACTTTTCGTGTTGAGGTAACGATAACTTCAATTTATTTGTTAGTAGAGTGTACAGTAGAAATCTAATTAAGACGTGCTAGAAAGTACTGTCTATTGTAAATCAATATGCAAGACTCAGCCCTCTTTATTGCTTGAGCCTTTGCTAGACACAGGAAAAGCTGTTCCAAGCATATGACCTTGTTTTCACACATGTTCCTCCCCTGCCTCCTTCAGGATCCTGGCCTGGAGTCACAAGTCTTCCCAATGACCCACAGCTCTCTGTCTTGAGACAGTATGGCCCTCTTAATCAAATTCTCATATTAACAGAGAAACCATTCTGACGTTACATTTCCTTCACAGTTTACAGTTCCCCATGATTAGACCATTCCTATTTAAACATCTGGATATTTGGAAACATTCTGTGAAGTTAGGAGAGTAGACAAGAAGTGAGAAGCTGGTTGAGCAAAAAGCAACAGATAATGTGCAGTTAGCCTACTATATTTTAGATGTTAAACTGACTATTAGATGCTTGTGATACGTGGGACATCAGTTAGTCTATTAACATTAGTGTGTTTTTTATTCAAGGTGAAAGAATGGAATGAGAAAGGAATAGAGAGATGGAAATCCTATCGGAGGCAAAAACGGGAATGGATTAAATTTGCTGCTGCCTGTAGGGAAGGAGAAGATAATTCAAAAAGAAATCCAATTGCAAGAGTAAGTTCCAAGCATTTTATATAGATAAAATTCAACACTTGTAAAAAGTTAAGCAAACAACATCTTAGCTAAGGGAATTTCCAGACCAGTTTTTATTATGCGATTGCTGTGTCTCATCGACAAAGTTTTATGTGGAGTTTAAATACTGGTGGGTTTTTTGTGACTGTGTGTTTCCCTTTCTATCCCTCATGTGTATGTGTTGAATTTTATTGCACCATTTATAGTCATTGTAAATTTTTTAGAAATAAAAAAATAGAGAAAAAAAGAATCTGCCATAGATCCTGCTGGGCACAGAATTTGTTTTATTTACTAGATTTTAAAGTCAATACCAAATTGGTAGTGTTAGCTGGACTCAGCACTTGAGTATGTACTATTACAATAATTAAGTGATGCTAAACCATACCATTCCCATGATTTTCATTCACTAAACTTTCACAGAAAAACAGAAATCAGAAAGATCTTTAAATCAGTGAGGAACAATTATTTAAAACTTCCCTAACAAACCTTCTTCTTCCAAGGGTTTCATAATGAGAGATAATTACAATAGGTTGCCACTGAACTTTCTGATACCCCCAGTCAACCCAGCTGAGGAGCGTTTAGCCCTTCTACTTAAAGCTTCTCCCAGGTACCAATAGAGGTGAATATGTGGAGTTCAAGGTTGAACCCTAGCTGGGTAATGAAACGTTTGCAAGAAAAGAACCAAGTTCAGAGAACCCCAAGGACTC